AGAATCCCTTTTCCAACAGTCAAGGTGAGTTGTTTCTACTCTTTGAACTTTAGTTTGCCCATGTTTGAAATGGGTATAATTCTGTGAAATATGTACTATTATCTCATGGGTTGTTAGAGGGAAAGCACTGTATAAATGTTGATGACTTGTTTTTTTCATTTTCTGCTAAAACTAGTATTAATATTGTTTTTCTTTCAAAGGTTGGTGATATAACCAATTCTGAATGAATTGACAGTGATGTCATCAAACAACCAATCTACAACCATTTAAGTGCTAATACGCTAAGTGTTAAAGATACAAACACAAGAATGAAGTATTGCCTGCTCTCAAGATTACATTTTGTTAAGACTAATAACATATATATGTATATATGTAATATACATATACATACATATGTGTGTATGTGTTATGTGTATATATATAAAACAAATAAATTCAAAACAAATTCAAATTGAATACTAGTCAGGGAGGGAGGGAACTCACATTTGGGGAGATCAGGAAAGGCTTATGTGTAGAAGGTGGCACATTAGGTACATCTTGAAGGGAGAAAAGATTTTAGAAAGGAGTTCCACAGGAAATCAGCCACTGCAAAGGCACAGAGATGGGAAATGTGATCTGCCATGCAATGGGTGAGGAATAGAGAAAAGACCAGTTTGGCTGGATCAAAGAATGAAGGAAGGCAGGTCAAGCAACATCTCCATAAGGCTTTTCCTGACCCCCTTCAGCTGCTGGACTCTTCCCTCCCCATACCTTGTAGTCAACAAATTTGTGTATGTTTGTATTATATTATTTATGTGTATTATACAGCAGTGTGCTGTATTCATATGTGTACTTGTCTTCTCCTCTTTTAGTATCTAAACTCCTTGTGATTAAGAATTCATTCTTTATAGCTGTAGACTGATAATGCATAATGAGAGTTTGGGACCAGATTATAAAAGGCTTTCAATCCCAAACAGAAGAGTTTAGATTAACCTTCAGGCAAATGGTAAACTTTTGTTTTTGATTTAAAGTATCTGTGTATGTAACTGTAACAGGAAGCTACAGAGATTCGATAAAATGTAGTTTCTTGGTCTCAAGGAGTTTAGACTCTAGGAGGGGGACTGGGAACAAGCATAGATAGCTATGATATACAGCACTTCATATAAAACAGAGAAATCATTTATCACTTTTCTAGTTGGGGGGCGGGGAGTCCCTACCTTCAAGGAGTTTGTATTTTTCCTAATGGAGGAAAACAACTCAAATGAAATCAACAAGCATTTCTTAAGCACCCTATGTATGTGCCAGGTACAGAACAAAGTGCTGGGAATACAAACATAAATCAAAGGAAAGAAAGACAGTACGTTACATTCTGGTATGGAAAGACAGCACATCAAAAGGACTCTTGGGTTGGGGATGAGAAAGGAGACTTCGTGGAGGAAATCTACAGTCAGGAGTGGAGGTGAACGAAGACATGGCTGACTGGGGCACTTTTCTTAAAAGTGGAGGTCCTGAGAGGAGCGACTGGTCTCAGGAAGGGGCCACACAGGGTGGACGGTACCTACACTTTTGGGAAGGCCAGGACGACGTGTAAAAAGTTGTACACACAAAATAGACATGTGTTATAAGTGGAATGTGGGGGGGGGGCCCTGGAAGGTGAGGTTTGAACTGAGTCCTAAAGGAAGCCAGAAGCCAGAGAAGAGACAAAGAAGGAGAGTCTAGGAAATGGAGTGTTAGGTGCTGGGAACAATGAGAGGGCCAGTGAAACTAGATGGTAGAATATGGGGAGAGGGGGAAATTGTAGCATTGGGAAGGCAGGCAGGAAAAAGGTTGTAAAGGGCTTTAAATGTCAAATAGAGGATTTTATATTCAATTGTGGAGGTAATAGGGAGCCACTGTAGCTTATTGAGCAGGGAAGGATGATTCGTCAAAGCTGTAATTTAGGAGTCACTCTGGCAGCTTAGTGAAGGATGGATTCAAGTGGAGAGAGACAAGGCAGTAAGTCCAACCAGAAGCCTGTGGTGTTAGTCCACGCATGAGGTGATAAAGGCCTGCCCCAAGGTGATAGCTGTGTGTTTGCAGGGAGTACAAAACAAAAAGCTGTTGTTACAGATACCAACGCAGGTTTAGGAGACTACTGAAGAGTGAATGACTTTGATAACTAAATCAGGTAATCTGTGATCTTCTTGATATACTTATGCTTCCAGTGGGGTGGGTGTGGGGGCACTGATTACAAGCCTTCCAAACTTTCCTCTTATTGTGTAGACTTTGTTCGTATTTTTCAATTAATCTTGTACACAGGGACAACCCAAACTTCCCTAGATCTTTTTCTGGTTCTTTTAATAGATGAATGGATTAAATTTAATATTTAAAGGTGAAGAAACATATTTCCATTTAGTTGGAATCTTGGGATTACAGGTGTGACATCACATACTATCAATGTGTTGATCAGTTGTGTTTAATTGGTTTTCTTTCTTCATTACCAGGAGGGATTCAGATTATATATAGTGGGAAATAATGGTGGTGTTAAAAACCAAAATGCATCAGTAAAATTCACAAAAAATAAGCTTAAATTTAAATGTTACATTTGAGCATTCGGTTTGTTAGATGTTTAGAATTAAGTGCTTTTTACATTTAAGCTGTTTAAGTTTCTGAAAAATATTTCACTAGCCCAGAAATATTTAAGAGAAACCAACTAGAAATCATCAAACAGTTATAAAAATGTCTGCCACATGCCAAACAGTGTCCTAGGTTTTGAAGTACAAAAATGAAAATTGGAAGTGCCTGCACCCTTGAATAGTTTGGAGTTTAGTGTAAGCTTTTGGTGAAGGCGCATTGAATTTGGAGGCAGAAAATCTAAATTCAAGACCTAGTACCAACACTTTACTTGGAGTAAGTGTAACTGAGGACAAATCACTTGACTTTCTAAGTCGTATATATAAAATGGAGCAATAATATTTAGACTATGTAGTTTACAGGACTGTTGTGAGGAAGGTAATTTAATAAGGACTCTACGTGTTGTTTTTAGAGAATAAGCAATATTCATAAATAATTTTGAGCTTACACAGTTTGAAGACTGGGATGTATATTTTAATGTTAAGAGAATTTTATACATTCATTCGATGAATTTTGCACAGTGCTAGGTTGGAGGAAGGGAAGTTGTACAGATCCATTCTTATAACCAGTTGATACATCAAGTCAGATCCAAATGGCATGTAAAAATGAGTAGAGCTTTTTACATACCTTATTCCTCCTTATAGTAATTTCCCAATCATGACTGATAAAGAAATATCCGTTTCACGCATTTTGTTAGCAATATATAGTGTTTTTTATAGCATTGCTATTGGCATAACTGACATGTTTCTTCCCCTATTAGTGATTCATTTTTTATCTGTAAAATTATTATGATTGTTACCTGAGTACTTTATGTTATTATAAAAAAGTTCTATAATCATCATGATAGGATGTTTACATAAAGTGCATCTCACTTTATCCAAGAAATATATTGTTGTAAAATTCTATCCATAATAATTTTTTATCATTCAATGACATTTAAATATTCTGTGACAGAACGTACCATTTAAAAGACATCTATTTTTCAAAAAATTACCAAACCTTTTTTAAAATCTGATAAAGAAAAATCTTCCCCCCCTTCAATTTCTTTTTTTTGGGGGGGGTGTTGATAAAATCTTGGTTTTTATATATTCTGTTTGCTTAATGCCTACATTTTATACTCTTTTAAAGATAGGTATTACATAGTACAAATTTCTCCATAGGCTTGTGTAGGGTTTTAAAAACTGAACTGTAGAATGTCCTGTATGTTATTTCTAAATATAAGAACTTATTAATTCAGTGATGTGGTTAAAAATAGCTAGTTAAGAACTACAAAGTAGAAAACACATTAGATTTGAATTTATTCAATAATTTAAAAAATACATAGATTTAAAAGATCAGGAAGATTATGGTAATAGATTGACTGGAAGTATATCTATACCTTAAAAAATGCAAAAAAAAAATTTTTCCATTAATACAGAGTTGATCCACTTAAATATGCTTTTGTTAATAGACAAAATTAGAATGGCACAAAGCATTAATTTTTAAAGTTTCCAAATTATGAGGAACTACATGGATTTTATTACATTCATATATTTTACACATGCCTGTTTTCTTTTACTTATCTACATTTTTATTGACTTCTCACAGTGACTACTACATTTAAAATGTTGGCACAGAATGTTAAGTTACCTTTTAAAGAGTGCCACTAGTTCCTGGGAGATGATAAATCCATCCATTGATTTCCTAATTTTATTATGTACACAATCAATTGTAATCCAAGATTACAGCAAACAAGATGTTAATTTCTAGACATAATCTATGTACATTTCAATTACAGAGCACTATGGTTATAGAAGCATAGAATAAAAAAGAGAATAACATTTGTGCTATCCTCACAGGAGCTGTCAATAAAAGTTGTAATAGGGGATTTAGGAATCTGGAAATGGCCAACTAATTTATGTGAATCTATTTTATTTCAGCCAGAAAGACCAAGCCTTTTTGCCTCTACACTGCATATTGCAGAGCACAGGCTAACTATAGAAAACCAGGCGGGTGCATATGGATGCTCCCTTGATATCATTCACTTGCTGTGTAATCTTATTATGCAAAGTTCTAATCTTCACCTAGAATGAATGCCTCTGGGTCAGAATATAGTCATATCAGGGTTTTTGAGGTCATGTTTTGTGATCCTTAGCTTATTCTTCTAAGTAGGGCTGGGATTTAACGGGTATTCCCCAGACACTAGCAGAGATAGACAGCAGAACCTGCTGCCTTTTTGGAAGACAAGACCAACATGAGGTCCCTGGTAGGATTAAACTTGATTTGTAGCTGTAGGATTTTTTAACAGATGTATTATTGGACAGGGAATAGGGGGCCACCAGCACAGCAAAATTGGATCGCGATTGGCATTCTCAGGGAGTCTGCTGGCTGCTAAAACAGCAGCTGCATGTGGATTTGACTTCTTTCAGGTGAAGCGACTTCCAGTCATTTGGAAAGGATGGGATGAAAAGGAACCTTGGTGATAATTTTGATGTCTGCAAGATTTAGTACCAGCGTAATGGGATTATCGGTAACACCTTCACTGCAGAAAAAGCCACCTGGCGCTATAACTGGCAGCAACTGAGAACTAATCCTTTCCCATCTCTTGGATGTCATTCATGAAGCTCAAAGTGATTTCTATCCTGCTAGCTGTGATTAATTTTATAACCCCTACCTTCCCCCCAAAAAAAAATCAAGTGATCAAGGCAAAGAACATGTGGAAAAAAATTAGGCAAGTATTGTATTGTGCAGTCTTAATTTTTACCAGATGTAGACTTTGCTGTCCTTAAAACACGATAACTTAAATGCAAGAGAAATGGATTTACAGTATCTTTCTTATATATACTTTACCTTCCAATTCAAAATGAAGCCGTAACTGTCATTAATGGAGATGATCATTTGTAACTATATGTAAAATTTTAATAATTTTTGTACAGTGGTAATGATAAGGCTATTGTTTGACCAAATCATAATGCCTGTAGATGTAAGAATTGTAGTTTAATTATTTGTTTTTAATATGCATGTTGAGGAAGGAGGGATGGAATAAATAAGCCTTCATGTAGCACTTTACAAATATCTCATTGGATCCTTGTGACAAACCTGTGAGGAAGGTGCTGTTACTATCCTCATTTTACAGTTGAGGAAACTAAAGCAAACAGAGATTAAGTGACTTGCCTAGGTCCCACAGCTAGGAAGTGTCTAAGGCCAGATTTGAACTCGGGTCTTTCGGACTGCAGGCCGACTGCTTTATTCACTGTGCCACAAGATTTTTTATTAATATGGTTTACAACATGTAAATAATTTTGTATTGGAAAACTTATTTATCATTTTGGTAACATAATGTCACTGAAAATGCTGATGTAAAAGAGTAGTTTTTTCCCCAGATGGCTTTTAAAAAACATGTACTAAGACACTGAAGTAGTAATATAAATGCTCCGAGGTTTTCCATGATCACTTGTCGGTTCTTAGTTAAATTGGCCTTTCACCAACTAAGGATGGATTCAGCAATTTAGTGTAGAATTGAAACATTGAGGTAATTGCTGTTACTTAAATTTTACCCTAATAAAAATTTTATCAAGTAACTTCAGTTGTCAATTATATTAGTATCTATCTCATACATTATAGAATTATTATAAGGATATAATAAATGCAGAGTCTTAAAGTTATTACATCCATCAGGTAAATACCATACGACATAAATGTCAACACTACCAAAGATGATTAGTCTTGTTAATAGTTCTAAAATATTTACTTATAGAACTTGATTTTTGTCCTCTCATCCTAGCATAGGAACAGATATTTAGAGTTGGAACGGATCTAAGAAGTCATCTAGTCTAGTCTCTTTATTTTATATATGAGGAAAGTTAGGCCCATTAATTTCGAAACTTGCCCAGAGTCAAAAACTTTTTTCTTTGCGGAATGTCAGTGACCTCAATAGAATGAGAGCAGCTAGGTAGCACAGTAGATAGAGCACTGGGCCTGAAGTCACTCAGACCTGAGTTCAAATCCAGCTTCAGACACTTAATAGCTGAGGCCCTGGGCAAGTCACTTAGCCTTTGTTTGCCTCAGTTGCAAAATGGGATAGTAATATCTATCTGGGTTGTGGAGATCAAATGAAATCATTTATAAAGCACTTAGCAAACCTTAAAGTGCTATAAAAATCTTAATTTATTCACTTTCAAATTAAGAGCAAATAGTATTTGGTATTCACGCACTGTGTTTTGAATGATTTAATTTTTTGCAGACATTCATGAACAAAACACTTCAAAACAATTTATAAACAAAACATTTATTTTTAATTCAGTATTAATACTTTGAAAAACCATACATCATTTTGTATATGCTTTTATGTGCCATGTCTACTTGATTCATGCATGTATAAAGTATTAGAAATCTAATAAAACATCCTTGATTTACATAAAAATCTGAAATGAGCTCAGCTATCCAAGTTAGCACTGCTGTTGTACCTCTGACCTATTTGGTTCCAAATTACTTTGTTTCTAAGAGTTGCAGTTGGTTGCCACAAGGCAGCTAGGTAGTTCCTTGGAAAGAGCACTGGCCTTAGAGTCAGGAATACTTGAATTCAACTCTGGCCTCAGACACTAGCAGTGTGACCCTGGGCAGGTCACTTCACCTCTCCTTGCCTTCATCCATGGGTAAACCACTCCAGTATCTTTGCCAAGAAAACCCTGTTTGGTGTGCTGTGGTCCACAGGGTTATGAAGAGTAATACATGACTGAACAGTTGAACAACAACAAAGTTTGTTACCACATAAAGAAAGAAGGAAAGAAGCATTTATTAAGCTCCTATTATGTGCCAGGCCCTCTGCTAAGTGCTTTACAAATATTATTTCATTTGATCCTCCCATGAAATAGGTGTTCATATAGTAATACCCATTTTACAGTTGAAAAACAAAAAGCTGCTAAATGTCTGAGGATGGATTTGAACCCATGTCTAACTGACTTTAGACCCAGTGCTCTATCCGCTTTGCCAAATTCATGCCATTTAATAGTAAATAGAGAATGGATCCATTTCTACTGCCCTGTATGTGAAAATGTTTGTGCGTTTTCAATCCAAGATTGAAAGAGTCATTCAGAAATTTGTAGATTGAGAAAAAATTTGTGGATTAAGGAATACCTACTATTATTACAGTAATTTTCGAAGAACCTATAATACTTTTACTGCAGAGAGTTTCTTTAGCATGCCCAACTTATATTCTTAATTTCCTATAGAGATTACTATAAATATTTACTTACGTTGATATATATATATAGGTATATATATATATATATATGTGTGTGTATATATATATATATATACATATATATATATATATATATACATATATATATACATATATATATATATGCATACTTTTTTTTTTTAGACAATGGGTGGTTAAGTGACTTGCCGAGGGTCCACACAGTTAGTAAGTGTCAAGTGTTTGGTCTGAGGCCAAATTTGAACTCAGGTCCTTGTGAACTAAGGGCCCATGCTCTATCCACTGCGCCACCTAACTGCCCCCACTTACACTGATTTGTAACAGGACATTTACTGTGTCAGAATACAGGGTTCACAGTCTTTTAAAATAGTAAATAAATTGTTTATCTTAGAAAAGCTAAACCCACCCAAAATGATGTAAACAGACTTCATGGATCTTGCTATAGGAATAGCTATTTTTGGAGACAAAAAAAGTATCATTTCAGAGTGTTCTTTTTTGCTAGCTGTGTGACCCTAGGCAAGTCACTTAATCCCAATTGCCTAAAAATTAAAAAGAAATGTTCTTTTAACTTGGTTACTTATTGCTTTTCTGCCTTTTAAGAAGTCACAAAAGTTATACTGTTCTTTCATCTGTGATGTCTTTTCTGATTATTTATAGCTACTTATATCCCAAATAATTTTTATTGGAGTAAATTCCAAGTGTGTCATATATACTCTGTTATGAATGATGTACTTTTTTGCAAATATTAATGTGTTCATGAATAAAACATTGATTTTTAATACCTTATTTAAAAAACTTTAAGAAGTGTGGCTCAATTTTCAATTAAAACAGGAGCTCTCAACCTTTTTTGTCATGAGCCTCTTTGACAATCTGGTGAAAACCCAAGGATCTTGTCTCAAAATAATGGGTTTAAATGCATAAAATTAACACAGATACAAAGAAAATCAATTATACTGAACTTCATTTATCAAAATATATATATTTTTAAAAACCCAAGTTCATGGACCCCAGGTTAATATCCTGCGGACCTAGACCAATGTGATGTGATTCTTTGAGGATTTCTTGTTTTCTCCACCATGAGATTGTGAACTTCTTGAGGGCAGGGACTATTTTTTGCTTTTCTTTATATCCTCAGTGTTTGGTGAAGTGCACATAGTAGGCCCATAATAAATGCTAGTCAGGTTGACTTGACTAGAAAATTTAGTCTTTTTCCTCATGCATCAGTGTAATTTTTTCCCTGTGTGTTGGTTTTTTTGTTTTGTTTTGTTTTTGGTGAGGCATTCAGAGTTAAGTGACTTGCCCAGGGTCACACAGCTATTAAGTGTCAAGTGTCTGAGGTCAGATTTGAACTCAGGTCCTTTTGACTCCCAAGGCCGGAGCTCTATCCACTGTGCCACCTAGCTGCCCCTTTTCTCTGTGTTTTGAAGAGTTTGTTATTGCATTCTGCAAAGTAGGAATGAAAGAATTTGATTGAATGTTAATCTGATGAATAAAATACTATCATTGGAATAACAGGCTCACTAATGAAGGCAGAAAATTGCACTTTTTTTAGAGGTTCATTGTCATCATTTGCCCTGTTATGCTCTTCCTAAAGTAGAAACTCCATTTTCCAATTAAAATCCTTCTTTTTCTAGTCCCAGCCTAACTTTCCAAACTTATGCTCCCATTCTTGACATATATCAGCCAAAGTCGCCTACTTTCTACTCTTTGTGTGCTACTCTCCATCTCTTGTCTACATTTTTACACAAGTTGTTCCTTGTACTTGAAATGCACGTCTCCACCCTTCTGAATCTTAAGACTCCCTGGCTTCCTTAAGAATCCCAAGTCAAGGGCCACTTTCTACATGAGCTCTTTTCTGATACCTCCAGCCTTTCCCCTCCCAGATGACTGTCATTCATGAGAATGCAAAAATCTAAAGTAGTTTTAGAAAGAAATGTATTAGGCCACTTGGTAGTGGAAACTGAGCCAGAAAAAAAGGTGTTGGCTCCTTCTTGTCCAGGCTCTGGTTTACATCATATAGGGTTTAGACAAGGAGACCTGCACAAGAACTGCTGGAGAAGTCAGCTTAAAAGCAAAGTAGATTTTGGTGGATATCAGTAAATATAAACATTCAATATAACTTGGGCAAAGCCCAAACACAAGGGAACATAAATACAAGCTTGAGTGGACCCAAAATGTAATGTTTGGGGTGGATCCAGGATCTGAGGGAACCCAAAATTCCTTATCACTCTCTCCAGTATTCCTGAAGAGTTACTGAGGTCTGGGTAGCATTCTGAATTCAAACAATTTCTAGTCACATAAAGTTACATTTAAACCATATAAAATTTAAAAGTTTTCTGAACAGTGTAATACATTATTTTCCCCATTACCTTGTTATTTAATTTATTTATATTTTGTGTTTACTGATGGGATATATATTGTTTCCTCTGGTAAAACACAAGCCCCTTGAAGACAAGGACTGTTTCATTCTTGTGGTTATATGCCCCTTGCACATAACAGTGCATGGCAGC